GGGGGCGATGCTTTAGAGAAGAGGAAGAGAAAACTAGATGTGCATATAAAAATCTGTTCATATATGAATCACAATTCTGTCTTCTAACGATTCTAATGGATTCACAAGTTTCAAAATCAATGTTCTAAAGCAGCGGTTCTTAATACTGTTTCTCGCGTCGCCCTGCTCTGCATACGCTCTGCATCTCTCTCTCTCTCATTCAGATCATCAGCTCAGCTCTGTTCCATTTATACACTTATTTTCACATAGCTATGAAAAGCGTTAAACATGGACGCGCGTGCAGTTGCCGTACTGTATTAAAGCTTTAATCAGGATAAAACTGTATATTAAAAGCTAACAGAAGCAGTAGCATTTACAAATAACAGCGTATCTAAAAGTATGAGACAACAACAAACAAAAAACATAGGCCTACCATTAAAAGCCATGCTTGCACAGGTTCTGCACGATCCTCTACAATAATATCCTCTGCTTCTCAATCAGGCTCAAACTGATAAGCAATATTAAGGATGCCGCGGTTTACAATACAACCGGAGCACATGCCGCCGAGGTGAGAGGCGGGACGTTTAGATGCGCACTAGAGGCGGTTTAGCCAATCACAATACACTGGGCTAGCTAACCAATCAGAGCCCATTGCCTATTTGTGAGGGAGAAGAAAGTTTCTCAGAGAAGGGACAGAGCGGTGTGTAATAAAGGTAAATTATGTGAAAAATAATGCATTTTTAGCCCATCGCGTATTTCTGAGGGAGGGGCTTCATAAAAGAAGGAAATGATCAGCCCGTTTCTCTGAGAACTGTGGGACAGAGCGGTGTGCAATAAAGGTAAATTATGTGAAAAATAATGTTTTTTAAAAATCGAAGCATTAACACATGTTAGACTGCACCCCATAAACACAATCAAGCCTAGAAAAAACCCAGTGAACCACCCCTTTAAAGCAACTGCGTGTTTTGTGTATTTTGGCGACTTTGGTGCCCCCTACAGTCAAGTGAGTGAAATTCATTATTAATGTCATAATTTCAGTGGATAACAATACGTGCTTTTGTTGCTGCCGTAAAATTTCTTACCCACTTCATAAACCCAAACATAAACCCGTTTGATATGAAGCATGGGAAAGAAACAGAAGCTATTTGACTCATTAGAAGTCAGTGTAGCATATCAGACTGATTTTGAGATTCATATTTCAAGGTGAAATATTTACATGCAGTTACTCTGACCATCTTCTTCTTGATAAAAATATACTATCCGTAACATAAGCTCCAGCTCTGATGAAATGAAATCTAACCTGAATGCTACAGTGAAGATGGTTCACGTGGAAACCTGTGACTGATGTTTCTGTCTGCTTTATTGAGCTACATTATGTGTTAACACGTAGTAATAGAAATATCATTACAATGAATGGATAATGGGGGTTATTGGATACATCAATATGGTGTCATTCAATTGTGTAGAAAAGAGATGCTTTACAAAACCATCTGCGGTTTCTTATAAGCCTGAAAACATTGTTTGAATCATCATTAAACTGTATAGAGACGTCTATCCTATGGTTTCAGTCATTCTCAACTGGTGTAAAGTGATTATCGTGTTATAATCAATAATAATTCTAAATTACATTAATTTTAGTCCACAGATTTGGTTGGCTGAGCTTCTTTCCAAAGGCTGATATATTCCTGCCCGTGTTTGTCTGTTTCAAACAGACATACAGTCATTTAATCATTCACACAACTGATCTGTAAAAAAAAAAAAAAAACACCATGTTGCTCAGAGAGAAACTATTTTCGTCGATGAAACAACTGGCAATGTCTTAATGTAAGTTACTCAATATTAACCTTTTTAGTGGTTTTAACAAGCCACCAATAGAAGGCGACAAATTACCAGTAGAGACCAGGGACCATTAAAGTTTCCATTAAAACTAATACAATTCCCATTATAACCAGTAAAACCATTACAAATTCTGTGATGGTTTCTATTTTGTTTTCCCCCAGCAGGAAATTAATTTCAAAGGTTGTTGAAATACTGTGTAAAATGAAACACACTCTTGAAACACACACACTTGTAAACACACTCACGTCCAACACACTGAATGTGTGTCATTTTCTTGTATTGTCAAACAGGACTCATCCCAGAATAACCAAGTGCTGTTTTACACAAGGGTGTTAAATCCAGTACCAAAGCAGAAGTGGCAAATGTTAGCCAGATTTGGCCCAAATTGGTTGCTACACAAAAGAGTTCAATTACGTTCTATGCAAGCATGTGCAATATCTAGCACATTAGGTTTTATTTCACTTTGCAGGCTGATTAAAATGTTTGATCAGTATTGGGAGGAGAAAACCCTTCTCATATTTTCGTTTTTGACATCAAAATCCAGAACAATAATAAGTTTGGTACTGTGTTGGTTCATGACTCGGTTTTCAATGTAAAATCTGAATCCTTGTGCAAAATAGTTGAGAACCACTCTGTCAGACTCAGTGACGTATTTAGTGTAGTGTGAGTTTGACACCTAGTGGGTGCAAGTAGAACGGCATGAAACTTCTGAGGGGGGAATATTTTATATATATTTGCATAAATGGATCAGTGAAAATCACAAAAAGACTTGAATAGTCAGATTTAGTTAGTGCACATGTATAAACAGTGTTTGTTTGTTTATTTATTTATTTTTTTTCAGGCAAAATAATAATAATAATTGGTCTTGATGGGAACAAAAGCATAAACAAAGTAATTTTATTAGCAGCAGTTTTTTTTTTTTTTAAATGGGACAAATCTTAAGTGCACATACTCAACTCAGTCACTCAAAAAAAAAAAAAAAAAGAAAAGAAAAAGAAAAATCAATTGTATTGCTAAACAGCAAAGCATAAGAACTGATGCTTGAAAGTCATTTTTTTTTGTTTGTTACCTGAAAGTTAACAAAGGAAAGGAAACATTTCTCATTTTAATTTATTGATGTATTAAAACAACTGAAACTAAAATAAAAATGAATAAAACTATATAGACATTAAAAACAATAAAATGACAAAAACAAAATGACGTTAAAAAAACAGACTTCAGCAAAAATTAAAATACAAAATATAAAAAAAAAATATTCAAACTATTTTATAAAAACTATAACTGTATCTCAATGACACTAAAATGACAACTTTTCACCATTTTTACTGTATATTCAGTGTAGTCTTTCAATTAATTTGAGATCATACATTATTTTGCATAAAGAATGGGAACAAATACATTTTCAAAATGCTGTTTGAAATAGTTTGGGTTTTTCATGTGAGCGTTTTCTTGAATAAATCAAGTCATGACTTGAAGTTGTGGGTCAAATGTCAGTTCGCTGCCATATCCAGTGGCCATGTCTTCAGGGATTCCCTGGTCTTTAATTACATCCAGACCTACCACATGGCAGGTAAAAGGTCTGACACTATATTGATTAGATGATCAGTTTATCTGGTGAATTCCATTTATGAAACTCCACCAGATCTTTGGTTTTGTCATCAGGTCTTGTGAGAGTTGGTATGAGTTGGTATGTAAAGATTATAAAGACAAACAGGCTCTCAATTAAAACATCAGGCTAAGAAGGATAAGAGTCCATGATAAACAATGTTGTGTGCTGATCCTGCTAACAGGACTGAACTCAGCTTGATCTGCCACTTCGAACTCTTGATCACTGTATCGTCCGTGTTTGAGTGACCACAGTGAGCAGTTATATCTCTTTTGATTGTCCTGGATGTTGAGGACACTTGTGACGTTGAACGTTCCGTCAGAGTTCACCAGGCTTGTGCTTGTAGAGTTGGAAGTCAGGTTCTTGTCATAATGATACCAGTTTATTATGGCCTCTGGGTACACACCATTGAAGCTGCACTGCATTTGTTTGGGTCCAGCCATCTGGTTGGAGAATTCTCCGGTGCATTGTCCTGCGTAAATACAGTTACAAACACCAGGTATGAGAGTGAATAATGTGACGCTCAAGATCTGTGTGCAGATCTATACATTTATTCAAAAATATATTCACACAAACAATGACTTGAATAAATTATTTTAAGTCAATACAATTCCATTTGATATTTGAGATATTTGCATGATAATGTGACTATATTTGTGCAGTCAGGATGGTGTAACCAAATTTTGTAATGAAGAATGATTGAAAAAATCTCAGAAAATGCTGAAAAAGTTAGAAAAAGAAAACGTAGTATTGTTAAAATAAGTGAGTTTTTTTTTTTTTTCACCATATGACGGTGGAAGGAGGAATCCATTGTTTTTGTCATACAGCACAAAAACAATATTGTTCTTTTCTTGGACACTTAATTGCATATTAATTTCTATTAAATCAAAATGTGCTATATTTTACATAAACATTAAATACAATTAGTTGAACTTAATAGTGCGCTTTTGACCCACTTAAGTACATCCTAATGTGTAATTTCATAATTACTTCTATTTTCATTTAAATATGGTTACTGCTACCGAATGTTATTACAAGCATTTATGCTTGACTAAAAAGTCTATTCATTCAATTTCTATTGAAACTTGCAGGTCACGTACCTAAATATAGTTGCAATGCGATTATACATTTTAAGTGATGAAGTTGAAATTCAGCACATTGAAAATATATTGATTTTAAATATAATATCAAATAACACACTACAGTTAAAATTATAATTAGGTACTTTTAAGATATGAAGTACACTACAAGTGCACATTCAATACAACGTGCACTTCTTTTTCACAAGGGTATCAGATTCTCACATTTTAAATGTAAAACAAAATTCTTCAGGAATAGTTATTATACAAACAGGTTTATGATGAAGGAAAAAAAAACGTAAAAAAAAATACTTGTCTAATACACTACGCAAATAACATTGTTTGTTTGTTTGTTTGTTTGTTTGTTTATTTTAACTTGATAGCTGCACCTACACTATAAAATTAAAACTTCTGAATAACACAGTATGAAATATTTTCAAAATGAACTATACTACATAAGTAGTTGACACATTCTAAACTAAAATAATAATGATGATAATAATAATAATAATAATAAAAAGTTAAAGTAAAAAAAACAAAAACAGTTTATCATGTGGATGCAGTGTTTTCTACTTATTCTACTTATGATTCATACATTGAATCATTCATTTATTCATTAAAATATGCTTCATGCTTACAGCTTTGGACTGCTAAATGGATGGATGTACTGTACTGACCTATAGACACGTCGATTTTTTCTTTTCCATGTCCAGAGTCTGTCCTTATACAACAAAAGTATGTGCCCATGTTTGCTGGTGTGGGATTTGAGATGGTTAATGTCAGTGCTCCCCCTGTGTAGTTGCACTCAAATCCTGGAGGGTTATTGCTGGATGTTGAAACACATTCAAAATCTTTATCGTCTTGTTTTTTCCAGTACGCTTTAACAAAGTTCAACGGCATTGATGAGCTGACTCCGCATTGCAAGACAGTCCTCTCATTGCAATTCACTGTCTGGTGTTTAAAAGCACGCATCTCTATTTCACCTGCATGCATCAGAAAGCAATATTAGCATATGCTGTATTTTCAAAACTACATAAGTAGTTGACACATTCTAAACTAAAATAATAATAATGATGATAATAATAATAATAATAATAAAATGTTAAAGTAAAAAAAACAAAAACAGTTTATCATGTGGATGCAGTGTTTTCTACTTATTGATTGATTGATTCATACATTGAATCATTCATTTATTCATTAAAATATGCTTCATGCTTACAGCTTTGGACTGCTAAATGGATGGATGTACTGTACTGACCTATAGACACGTCGATTTTTTCTTTTCCATGTCCAGAGTCTGTCCTTATACAACAAAAGTATGTGCCCATGTTTGCTGGTGTGGGATTTGAGATGGTTAATGTCAGTGCTCCCCCTGTGTAGTTGCACTCAAATCCTGGAGGGTTATTGCTGGATGTTGAAACACATTCAAAATCTTTATCGTCTTGTTTTTTCCAGTACGCTTTAACAAAGTTCAACGGCATTGATGAGCTGACTCCGCATTGCAAGACAGTCCTCTCATTGCAATTCACTGTCTGGTGTTTAAAAGCACGCATCTCTATTTCACCTGCATGCATCAGAAAGCAATATTAGCATATGCTGATGCATTTGTATGCATACTGTATTTGAAAGATAATTTCATTAAATCCAAATAAGCTTTACAGATCTTTAAGGGTTTAAAGTACATTTTTCATACTTATTCAACGAACCATAAACAATTATTGCATGTTATGTACACATGTTAAGAAATAAAAGCAGTTGAATGTGAGAGGATGTTTCTTTTTTGCTGTGCATATGACATACAATGGGATACAAAATCAAAATCCTTTCACAACTCTAAAACTTCATTTTGAGGGTTAAAGGTCTGGAAAATCACAGACATTCAAGACTTTTCAAGTAAAAACGCCAAACCATTAGCCTACATTACTTACCTTTGCTATAGTCTGTTGTCAAGAGAATAATTAAAAATGGCATAAGGACTAACATCTTCCCTTTTAGAATAGAGCTGGAAGCTGTTAGATGCGTGCTGTGTGGAAGAAGAAAGTGATCGTGAAAGTGAAGAATAAAGTGTTCTCGGTCTCTGACTATGAATAGGGGAATTTTCTCCAAGCTGACAGCATGTAGGTGCTTGCCCACTGTAACTATGGCAGGTTTAGTTCCTCCTTCTTTTCTATCTTCTTTAACTAAACAATGTCAGGCTATCTCTCTTTGGCTTAATGGGGATTTCAAGATTTCTAAAGTACCCATTCTTTCTCTTATCAAGAGATTCTGTCAAACATCCAACACTTTCTTTCATTTCCTTATATCTGGAATGTTCCTGCATTTACAATAATACGATTTTTACTTTGCGAAAGGCAAAAGGACACTCTCCCGGGAAATTTATTGGGCTCAAAACGAAAACTCAACAGCAGGTCCAAGCTGAATTCTTGGAAATCTTCCACAAAATTGTCTTGGCTTTTGAGTTTGCAAGTTTTCAATATTACTTTGGCAGATGTTTTAAGACTGCATGTACACTGGAATGGTAACATTTTAGACTAGGGAACACATGCACTATTAACTAACAGTTTTCCCTCAAAAACTCCCAATTTGCTGTTTATTGATAGTAAGTACGGTAGTTGTTGTAGTTGTTACTGTATGTTCAGGCATTGGGAATATATGGTCATGCATTAATATGTGCTTTATAAGTACTAATAAACAGCCAATATGCTAGTAAAATGCATTCTAATAAGCAGCTAGTTAATAGTGAATAGTGTTCCCTAAAGTGTTACACATATTTCAGACAGACATGGGTGCTGTATTGGCGTGCTGGGGCAATGCAGGACATAACGCTGGGGAGTGGCTGAAGAGCCTTGATACAATGTTTTGACATTCAGTGGTTCATTTCAGGTCTTCATGAAATATCTACAAAGCTGGAGCATGTATCAATATGACTGAATAAAGTGTTGTTTATATATGGGGGAGTGATATCATCACGTCCGTAGGGGTTTATTTCTTGCTCCTTTGCTTCATAGAGGCAAAGAACATTAATCATCAATCATGTAACTGATCTCTCAAAGTGGGAAGCATCCAGAAACACTCAGCTTTCTGAGAGACATCTTGTCTTCACAGGATAGAGGAGGGATTGTGCTCGTGCTCATATTACAGAGGTTTACTCATCTGGCTCCAAGCCAAAAAAGCAACACACACCCAACACTCAACAAAACACAGCTGGATAAAATCATTTTAGCACCTTATCTCAGTCAGAAAATGCTCTGAAAAACTACTTCTCTGACTCACTTCTCTGAAAACATCAAGTTCCTCAATTGATTGTTCTGTTTATTAGAATTATTTTTTAACAATCATTAACTAAATATTAAGAGGTAAGGACACAGAACTGATAAAGTTAGTGGTGTCATGCAGTTCACTTGTACGGAGTGGAATAGTCAGTAATAAGTGACAAAAGTCTAAAATACATATAATTATCCATTTATGAATCAATTATCATTTTGACGTAACCCTTTTCTTTATTTAAAGGCTGAAATGTGAGGTTTACCATTTGATGAAACTTGTTCAAAGTTTCATTTGAACATGTCGTCATGTTGTCATTTAAAATCTGGACATCATTGGTAATGTTATTGGTTTAGTGTTTTCATGCAAACAACAAGTCATTTTATTTGTTGATTTTAAATATAAAACTTGGTGAAACTACTTATGTGTCAGTACTATTTGAACATTTCCAGCAACAGTACCATGATAATACTGATAACCGTGATAATTTAATGGTTCTTGCAAGTGTAAAAATGTTGGATTATTAAAATATTTTATCACTATAAAAAAAATGGTTACTTTCAGAACTGTTTATTGAAAGGTACTTTGGGGAACCTGAAAAGGTTCTTCTTTTTTGGAACCTTTTTTTAGGAGTGTGTAGTATTTTATTGACTGCTATGGGAAAATGAAATCTCCCATGCATAGAATGCTTCTAAATTCATTTTTCACTCTAACACGCCTTTTATTCTGTACAGCCTGCACAATCTGAAGTAAGACAGATCTCACTCCTGTGTAAATGTAATCCTGGGTTATCTTGCTCCATGCTGTCGAGTCTGCTTGGTATCCTTCTAACAATGTTGGGTTTGTTAGATTGGTCTTTGTTAGCTTTTATTTTAAAGTTCTGTCTTTGATGCTCTTGGCTCTGTCCAAAACCTGAAAAATGCTGAAGTAGGAGGACCTCAAGGCGTGTCTGAATCCAGTGTTACATATAGCATTAATGAATCCTTTGCTGCCTGTGAAATCCCACACTCATGGGAAAACATGTGCGGTTAGAGTATGGCAGTATAAGTTACTCTGGGGAAAAAAAAAAAAAAAGTAAATGTACTGTCTATCTCAGTAATAAAATGGCAAAGTCATGAATAATAAGTTTTGTCAGAGCCTAAGGATTCCAGGTCTATGGATTGCAACTATATGTGTCCACTAGTGCAGATATAAGTGGGTGTTTTCAATTCATTCTGAGCTGAAACCACTGTGAGGCAAACAGCAAGACCCTCAAAACATTGAGCAATATTCTTCATGCGAGTCACTGTGAGGTGAAGGCAGTCACTTCTGTCATAAGCCTTAAAGTCAGCTGATGGTTGTTTCTGGTGGACTTCAAATTATAGTTTTCATGATTCTGACTGGCCGCGTTGGAAAAGTTTAATAAATTGACACTGTATGTATACTTTGCCAGTCTATCTTCTTAGAAACCTCCTTACCACCTACCTAGCAACCACCACCACTCACAAGACCTTATCAACCATATAGCAAGGCATCTATACAAGTAATATTAGACAACATAATGCTTTTATACATTTCAAATCTCTTTGCAAATTGCCTATTGTCAACATTCAAACATTTGCCATGATGAACTTTCCTTTTCTGATGAAAATGAATTAGTGAAAGGAACAAAGAGTCAAGCATGGGTGAGAAATGACATAGAGAAAGTTAAATTATTTTCTGTAACCCCTTGTCACGTTGCACACACACGAGGGACGAGGAGACGCTGGAGAATATGTTGACAAGACTTTATTTACAGGAAACAAGGGAGACGAACTCAGGAAGACGTTCACACGAAGACGTACAACAGCGGACAGAGAACTTGGGACTGGGAACACATTTTATACACACACACAGGAGGAGGGGATGACGAGACACACCTGGGAGCAATAAAACCAAGGGAAACACCTGGGACAAATGAAATAAACTAATCAGGACAGGAACAGGAAACTAACCAAATAAGGGCATGGGAAGGCACATGGGGAGCAGGACACACACAAAACATGGAACAGAGTCTGACATAACGCCCCCCTCCGGAAGGCGTGTCCTCACGCCTTATAACAT